TAACTGTTGCAGCTATTCAAACCAGAGCTGGAACCAAGAGAAGGCCACATATTAGTTGCTTTGAAAATAAAAGCTTTTGTGAGGTATTCTTACTTAAACTATAAGGGATTCCTAGTGTTGATATAAAGAGCATATGATATCATGGGAGGAAAATTGAGAATTTGAAGGAGTGACTGTTACCATCACTTCTATTTATTGGAATATGAAGTAGCCTCCAATTGAATATTACATCTTAAACGACGTCAACATCCCAATGGTTTCAAATGGATAGTAAGTTCATGTTTAATTATGTAAAACAAATATTAAATAGTTATTCATGTGACATGTGATCTTGCAAGATAATCAGAAGCCCATAGTTTGAAGCTAGACAGATGAGAACGAGACAGAGGTGTTAGAGACTATGATACCTACAGATGAGGACGAGACAGAGGTGTTAGAGACTATGATACCTACAGATGAGGACGAGACAGAGGTGTTAGGTTAGAGACTATGATACCTACAGATGAGGACGAGACAGAGGTATTAGGTTAGAGACTATGATACTTACAGATGAGGACGAGACAGAGGTGTTAGGTTAGAGACTATGACACCTAAGATATTCTATCTGTTTGTGACTTAACATTACTCTGGCGACATAGGACTATCCTGCGGTCTCTAAGGCTTCCAGTGTTTGTTTATTGTTTGGTCCAGGCTATATGGAGCCTATGGTTGAAAATCGCCTGTTAAATGACTTGTTGGACATGCAAGCTGTTATGAAATTAACACGTGGGCTAGAAGATAACCTGACTGTCACTAGATCTCCCCAGTTTCAAAGCTGTCAAAGGAAGTGATTTAACTAAAGATGGTGCCTCCTCAAGTATTGATATCTGAAATCATTGTCATGCTCTTTTGTACAATACGAACTTACACGATTGTTGCATTATCGTCCTGGAAGAACTCTTGAAAATCACAGAGGAAATGTAGCATTGTGAACTGGACATAATCGGCAGCAATCAATAGGACATTGTGAAAGTTATTCGCTCTTGTAAAAGAAATAAAGAACCTAAACGCACTCGGGAGAACGTTTCCCACACTAGGAGCTTACACTTCGGAATAACGCGAATAAAGTCAAGTCCATTATGTAGGTTTCTCCATATTTATGAAGCACAGTAAGTAAAGAAAAGTCTGAAACATGATTCGGAAAATTTCCCTTGCTTTCAGTCATTCATTCTACACAGCTTGGGCTCTGAATGTCACCAAAGTCGTGTTTTATTTGTGTATCTAGCGTATCTCACTGGTTGTTGGCTGTCATATAGCAGTTTCTGTTTAGCTTTTCGCATGGAACAGTTGGAGAAAGTCAAATCCTGACCACTGTTGAATGAATCAAATGGGATACAGTCAAACGTTTATTGCACTTCAATCTTTTATCCTTTCAATCACATACAATTGACAACCACAGTTCTTTACTAAATGACGAAAGTATTACTTTGCGATTGACCTGCTAGATGAACATCCACTATAAAGATCCTTTGCTCTTAGTGACTATATTCTTAGAATAACCCTGACATTCATTACATTTTTAGAGTTACAAGGTTCAGGCAGTCACCAAACTCAGAACGCAAGTCTATTTTGCATACACATATAAAAATGACAGTGAATGCATAATAATATTTCATTTTATTTGTAAATACTTGGAGCATTATCTTCACTATCCATCCTTTTATTTTTCAGCAATATGTTATGATTTTCCTTTAATATTACACTTCAACCATTTTTATATTGTCGATGAATGAGTACGTGGAGATTTTATCAACGAGTTATGATCTTTAATACAAATTCCAATTCCACTTCATTATGTGTGCTATTGAAGTAATACAAATTTACAAAACTGCTATTTTTATAAAATTAAACAAATACAAATCCAGATACGAAAGGCGGAGAAATAGATACACTAATCTATGGCATAAAAATAAATACTCTGATCTATGGCATAAATAAAACTAGTAACGTACTGCATAATTGGGCTCTAGGTTAAATAATAAAAAACATAAATAAAAATGTTACTATCAGTAAAATTAAATAGATATTTTACTTTGTTTTGACTGTGTTCTTTCTGTTAGCTGAACTGGTATTTTTGTATGTTCGACGAACTACAGAAGTCCGCTGGTGAAGGTAAAATGCTTTTTGGATACAATCAAAGGAACAGCCATGGTAAATAAGAGGCAACTTAAAATAGTTTATTTTAATAGTAACAGTTAACAGGAATGTTTCCGTAATTAACAAGAACCGCTACGTCGTTTTTTTTTTCCTATATACCAAAACATCAAAAACCTGTAAGAAGTTTAAACAATATAAATCGTTCAATAATAACAGAAGTAGTCTATTAATATTATTATTGCAGAAAAGCTAATACATATCACACACACACACAAACCGTAAAGAATAATGAATACATATATATACGCAAAATTCATGTAAGGTTGATATATGTAAAGCAAAGCACGTACACTTGAGAAGTGTATAATGGCCCATAGTCTAACAATACAAGTCATGTACAAGAAATTAAATTGTCAGTTCGACTAGATACCTACATATATCGTTCACTATGCAATCCCTTTTTAAAGCTATATAAATAGGATTTTGTCTTTCATTTCTAAATCATCATACAAAGCATAATATTTTCATTATAACTATTAGCGAACATAAACATAATTTGATCATACACGTTATCCACCTTACGTCACAAGAACAACGAATTATTTCATAAACAGCTAGATGACAAGCTGCACGTGTTTGTAATGACGTCACAAAACACTCCATTTTACGAACAGCTGTTGTAGAAAATAATAAAAAAGTTACACCTTAAATACCTCAGAACTACTACTAGGTTTCAGCCTACTTTCTCTAACGTCCCATAATTCCTGAGTTAAAAAGGCACCTTTTGTGAGCAGAAGGAGTCGCGTTATATAATAACACATTTTCCAAAGCTGTAACTTCTTCAGGTTCTCCCGTTTAGTTTTGCTTAAGATGGAAAATATTAAACGGGACATTTCATGGGTACATTTCTGTACTAAATGTTATCGATCTCATCTGTGATAAAAGTGGTTTCAAGCACAACAAATCAAAGATAAGTATATATATATAT